ATTGTTGATTCAGCTCCTTTAACTCATTTCTTCCATTTGCTTTAGAATCTCTGCATAGGAGAGCAAGTTTGAATCTCTTCTGACATCCATTTTGGTCTTGTCCTTTTTTTCTTGTCTTCTTAATGTTCTTTTTCTGTATGATGTTCTTGATGTCATCCCACAACTCTCTGGTCTTCGGTCTTTATTGTCTAATGCATCAAATCTGTTCTTCAGATGATCTCTAAATTCAGGTGGGATATGTTCCAGGTCATATTTTGGTCTCGTAAATGTGTTTTAATTTTCTTCAGCCTTAATTTGCATATATGAGCAATTGATGGTGTGTTCCACAGTCGGCCCCCGGCCTTGTTTTTGCTGATGATATGGAATGTTTCCACTGTCTCCTTCCATAGATGTAATCGATTAGATTTCTGTGTATTCCATTTGGTGAGGCCCATGTGTATAATTGTTTTATGCTGCTTAAAAAAGGTATTTACAATGAATTCATTGGTCTTGCAAAATTCTATCATGTGATCTCCAGCATCATTTTTATCACAAAGTCCATATTTCCCAAGTACAGATCCTTCCTTTTAGTTTCCAACCTTTGCATTCCAATTGCTAGTAACTACCAATACATATTGATTGCATGTTTTATCAATTTCAGACTGAAGTTGACAGAATTCTTCAATTTCATCGTCACTGGCTTTAGTGGGCTGTGTAAATTTCAGTACTATTAGTCTTAACTGGTCTTCCTTGTAGGCATATAGTTATTATCCTGTGACAGCATTATACTTCAAGATAGAGCTTGATATGTTGTTTTTCATGATGACTGCAACACCATTTCTCTTCAACTTGTTATTCCCAGCATAGTCAATCATGTGATTGTCAGACTCAGTGCTTTCCATTTCAGCTCACTAATGTCTAGGATATCAATGTTTATGTGTGCCATTTCATTTTTGACAATTTCCCATTATCCCATATTTATACTTCATACATTCCATGTTTTGATTATTAATGGATGTTTACAGCTGTTTCTCTTCATTTTCAGTTGTATCCCTTCAGCAAATGAAGGTCCCGACAGCTTTATTCCATTTGCATCATCATGGTCAACCCTATTTTGAGTAGACAGCTCCTCCCAAGTCATATTTTGAGTGCCTTCCAACCTGACGGGCTCATCTTCCAGCACTACATGGGAAAATATTTTGGTGCTCTTCGTCCTATTTCAATATTCAGTATTCTAGTGCTGACAGTGTTCAACTGCTGTTCATAAGGTTTTCAGTGACTAAACATTCAGAAATAGTCTCTCTCCTTCTTCCTAGTCTGTCTACACATGGAAGCTCAGATGAAACCTATCAACCATGGGTGACCCTGTTAGTATTTAAAATACTGGTGGCATAGCTTCCAGAATCACAGCAACACACAAGCCACCACAGTATGACAATCTAACAGACAAGTGGTGGTCCTACTTAGTAACCCTGTATAGGGTTTCCAAAAAGTGGATGTTGAGTTTGAATCACTGACCTTATCATCCAATACTTCTCCTATATATGAACTCCTGGAGTGGCACTGTAGGATAAGTATTGGATTATATATAAATATCCAACAAGTATATATGAGTTTGGATTGAGTATTTACCTTTCCTTTAAATACAACTATGAATATGGTGGAACATACAGCAGGCAAATGATGAAAACTTCCCAGATATTTTTAAACATTTTAAAGCAATGAGTTGATAGGTCTGGGGGCTCAGGACATTAGTCTCGGGAACACCATTAACGACTTATATATCATAGTCCACAAAAACAATGTTCTAAATCCTGCTTGGGTGATTAGCATCTGGGATCTTGAAAGCTCTTGAGTGGTCATACACGGTGCAGCTATTGGCCTCTCCACGTGCAGAAGAAAAGAGGAGTGATAAGAACTGAAGAGGTTTGGAATCAATTAGTCCAATGGACTAATAAAACATTTGAACACCAGTCTGAAAGCAGAAGCACTAGATGGTGCCTGGCTAAAACTAATATCTGTCCTGAAAGTTACCACATTAGAGGGTCCTGGATGGTGTGTGAGAAAGTGTGGAACAAGCAAAATAATTTAAAAAAGAAAAACTTGGTTTACTGGTCAGAAAGAACTAGAAGAACTTAAGACTATGGCCCTTAACCACCCTTCAGGTCTGGAAAGAAACTCACCCTTGTGGTCCAATTTCCAACCAGCTGTAGACAGGTTTATAAAGAGGGTTTGGGAGTGAGGTAACAACAAAACACTAGCAAGGTATGTTCACCATATAGTGGTCAATCATTCAAAACCAAAAGGGCATCATTTTCCTTAGGACAAAGTTGAAAAGAGATAGGATGGTGGGTAGAATGCAAAAAAGAATCACAGGGAGGAAGCCGGATAGCTGTTGTTATATGGAGGGATTGTAATTATTTGAAATGATATAAAGTATACAATTTGTTGAATGTAAATTTGGTAATATCAGTAAACCTACACTCAATTCACACTAAAATTTTTGAAAAAGAAAATTTTTTGTCAAATGGTAGGAAGAAGAATATTCATGTTGGAGTTAACAGGAAGGCAAAAGAAAAAAAACAAAACAAAACAAGAATGGGAACATATAGTCTCTTCTGACTCATTGAACTTGAGTACATTCAATTCAGTTAAGTTTGTAGCTAGAATAGTCAGTTGCAGAATAAAAAAAAAACAAAAAACCCAAACATTTAAAAAGGTTTTATCAAGCATTTAAATTTATTTTTTAAGGAAAACAAAAATAATGAATTTTAGAGAAGGGAAAGGTTGATTATCTTTAGTGTCCTTGTCAGTTTCCATGTCAGACAGCCAATCCAGTTATAAAGCCAGGATATAGAGAGTACTAGAAGTTAAAAGGAGAGGGTATAACTATTTGTAACACTGGATTCAAGCTTTAGGATTTTCAGTATATTCAAATCTGATTCTTTAAGCTACCTAAAGCTCTGTGACGACAAAATATTATCCACATTCAAAAATCACTTAGTTTGATATTGCTGAATAGAGTCATACACCATGATAGACCATTTCCAATTATGAGATGGCTCAGAAAGTCTGTATGAATTCAGAGAATATTGAGACCCTATGCTTCAGAATACTGAGAATTTTATCTTTCATTTGAAAGAAAATCTATCTGGTGAAGTTTCAATTATAGATTTCATAATGATTTCTTCTTATTGCTTCCTGAATCTATCAATTCCATTAATGGATGAATCTTTCTTCTGAATCATAACTCAAGAAGAAATGTCACTATTTTAATAATGATATTTATATCACAAACAATAAGACAATGAGCCCATTCTATTTGGATGCCTTGATCATTTTATGCAAAGTAACTTCAATTCTTAGTGAAATACCAAAGGTAATAAAAATGAACACTGACATTAAGATAAAACTCTATGCTTTTCACTGCAGACAAATCAATGATGGACGGAGGGAGAACAAGAGTTCTGATTTTTATAGTATATTAAATAACATTTTATAAATCAAACAAAGGTTTTTCTCACGATAATGTGTCTAACAATATAATAAAATAATTGATCTTTAAGGCATATTAACTAGAGCTTAATATAAAAAAATAAGTATCATTTTAACTTTGGGATATGAAATATTACATGGCTTATACTGAAATACAATGAATTTATTAGGTCTTAAAAACATATTCACAGCAGAAAGATGTTTAAATAAATCAGTTAATAGTTACAACTACCACTTTCTTAAAATCTGCTTTGAAAGGCTGAAGACATCTAAAATTAAGCTCATTATTAAATATAGTATGCAATTTGTGCCATGCTAAAAAGAATCAGTAGAATTCCATCAACTAATGAATTCTATGACTTTGTTCCCTCATATGACCCCACAGTACGATCTTTAAACTCAAAATAAGATCTTAATTATAATTTTAATAACGGAAATTTTTAGTAAGTTATAAATACCATGCACAATTATTTGAGTGAAACACGAGAAATTTCACATGAGAATGTTACCTTCAATTTTATGTAAGATACAGACATAGCTCATCTTAGTGTGCTTTGCATAACTGTGCTTTTTCTAAATTGAAGGTTTGTGGCAACCCTGCATTCAGCAAGTCTATCAGCACCATTTCTCCAACAGATGTGCTCACTTCCTCTCTGCATCACATTTTGATAATTCCCACAATATTCAAACTTTTCCATAATGCTGTAGTACACTTAATAGGTTACAGTATAGTATAAACATAATTTTTGTATGCACTGGAAAACTGTAAGATGCTCGTAATTTGTTTTATTGCAACATTCGCTTTATTGCGGTGGTCTGGAAATGAATCCATACTCTCTCCACGGTATGCCCATATTTATTATGGTGATTTTAATATGTTTCAAGACATAACTGAAATGGTTCTTTTGGAAGGAAGTATCACCAAGCTATGTACACAATTCATTTTGACCAAAGAAATTTATTCAGCTTAAACATGAATCTTATTATTCAGTTTTAAATATCAGCTATTTAAAAAAATATTTCAATCTACCCCAAAACTCAGGGATTTGATATATTGAGATTATTCAAATGAATGTGAATTTTTTCAAATGAATGCCTTGAAAGTACTTCCAAAGAATTTCAAAAATCTTTTTAATAATGGCATGCCTTGAAATATAATATATAGCATCCTAATATAGTTATGTTAATAAAAACAAACCTATGTTGTATTTCTTAATATCCCATTATAACCTTAATCCTTTAGATGTAAAAAGCATCTCAAGAATTTTACATATTTTTCTATAGATTACCTCAATTGTTGACCTAGAAAAAAATTTACTTCTAATTCCAGAAATTACAGACTTTCAACAAAGTTCTATTTAAAATGGATTTAAATGATACCTATATATTTGTTTAGAGATGGAAAGATTTCTGACTCTTGAAAACGATATAAAAATAATTTTAGTGTGTGTGAAGTCAACTAAATAGTCATAAAAACTGAAGTAATTTCATATATAGGCAACATAAATAAATGGCTTGTTGTGTTGAACTTTCAAAATGTAGTTTAATCTCATTCCAAAAACAAAGAAAATTTCTAGATACAAACATCTCATTCAAACACATTTTATAAACATACATTCAGCAACTTAAAATATTATAAGGATCCAATATTTTCATCTTTTATAATTTCAATATATTATATATTTAATATATAATATATATACAATACATACAAGTAGTCAGCAGGATTACAAAGTAAAATCTTAAAAAAATTGATCAGTACTGATAAATACTTTAGGTTATTAAAAAGAACTATTTCGGTTCATAGAATAAAATAAAATATGGAAGGCCCAAACCTAAAACCAGGATTGCAAATATTCATATGGCCAACCATTTAAAAAGAACTCTCAAGTTGAATATGATACCTTTTAAAACAATACTCTTGCTACTCTCAAGCAGCAATCAATACCTGTTGATATTAAACATGTATATCTTCCTTAAATTGAAAACGATGTAGCTTTCTTTACTGTAATATACAGTAGCTATTTCTTCCTTTCTGTTGGGTGTTTTTTTTTTAACAGAAAGTATTACCAACAGAAGTGACTTCTGCCCCATTCCCTTCCCCAAAGCATGGCTCAGTTTGAAGATTGTCCTATAGGCAACCATTATTGAGTATTAACAGTACTTAATACCATTAAGGTCAATCAATAACTGGAGTCATATAAGAAGTTTCAAAGACTGCTGGGGGGTTCTGTAAACTAAGGTAAATTAGATGTATGACCCTTGTAGATAGCCCTCTCACATCAGTCAATTCAAGAGTTACAATTCCAATGCCGCAGTACAACAGTTAAATCTGTTCTGTGATTTTAAATATTATAACATTAGTTCACCCTGAGTATACAGAGGAAGGATTTAAAACAATATGATATTCTGATATGCCTTTAAAATTTTTTTCCCTTTGTGTTTGCTTTCTCCCAGTTTTCTTCAAATATTTGAATTTATAGTGCGACTTGTGTATCCTTTGTTGTTCATGCCACAGTCAGATACTGATGATAGAAAAGCCCAAAAAGGCTTGTAGAAAAGAGGCAAGCAGCAATCCACCAGGTCAGAAATGACAGAAGTCCTCGGAAAAGCAGAGGAGTGAAAATGTTTTTTAAGCTGCTCAGTGCTACTGTTATTTGTGTAACAGTTACCTTCATCTTCCCATCAGTAGAAGGTAATTCAGAGTAAAGAGAATTGGAGGTTAGACCATTATCCAAAGGCAATGATGAAATAGTTTCTGGACAAATCCCCCAAGAATGATTACCTAGAAAATTCAAGACATAAATGAAACTTGAAGAATAACCAATTTCAAAGTTCTTATTTAAAAAAATTATTTAACTCATATTTGAAATTAAGAACAAAAACCTTAGTGTCACAACAAGTCATCTTATGTTTGACATTAAATAAAACAATAATCTTTCTACCTATCTAGTAAGTAATTTCACCAAACTATAATCTGATCTTACCAGTAAAGGTACATATTTTAAAAAACCTAAATTATTTTTAATAAACTGCACTAAAATCTGATACAATAGTAAAAACAATTTTTCCTTGTATAAGCCATGAATCAACTACCTATACTGAAAAAAAAAAAAAAAAAAAAAAAGGGACGTATTCAATAACTTCTTAGAAATCCCTTCTACCTTTGGACAATCCGAACAAATTTCTTTCCCAGAAGATGCCTATGATTTCAATAAGACATACTATTAATAGCTTCCAGAATTTTTTTCACCATCTACTTTCCTACGATAGATAGGATATGAGTCACATAATTTATAATTGAGCTACCCCCTAAAGAACATTTGGACTGCTGGTGTGGCAGTGTAGAATCAGCCCTGGTCAGCAGTTTAAACCCACCGGCAGCTCCTCAGAAACCCTACACAAGGTCACAATGAGTCCAAACTGATTTGACAGCACATAACAACAACAAATGCTATCTGGAGTCCTGATGTGGTACTGTAAGATAAACATGGGACTGCTAACCACAAAGTCAATGGGGTTCAAACCCACCAGTCACTCTTCAGAAATCCTATACAAGGTCACTATGAGTTGGAAGTGACTTGGCTGCACTTAACAACAGCAAAAAGACATTTACATCTACAGTCAGCTCTAATAAAACTTTCAATTCCTTTGTGCTTGTAAATTCCATACCTTGACTAACTGCCTGATCTGTGGGAAAGGAAAAAAAACAACATAATAATTATTAACTGCCATCAAGTTGATTCCGACTCACAGTGAGCTTGTACTGTGTTTCCAAAACGCAGCTGAGGGGTTTGAATTCCCAACCTTTTGCAGTTCAGTGCTGATCCTACAGCACCACAAGAGTCCTGATATAATAATAGATAACTCTTTAAACAACACCAAGGACTGATAACTCAATGAACAGAACTGAAGGGGACTTGGTCATTTCACTGCGAAATCATTAACCTAAAAGTTATCTAAAATAGAACTCTCCAAAGGAGAGTTTTTAAAAAGATGCTGTAATTCAATTAAGTTTACAAGTACCTTTTAATAATTTAAAACATTAGGCATGAACAAAAACGTTTAAAATAGTAATGCTTTTCAAGAGAACCATCCTATCACAATACAAAAGGAACAAATAAGTTCAACAGTGTTCACTAGTTACTTGGTAAACTTAACTTTAAATATTAAACTTTAATAAACAATTTAATAAGCAAAATTACCATTATGTTACAAAATAATACATGGACCTCTGTTTTCAACATCAAGATAATGGTTCAACCTTTTCTATGCTTTCTCTTAAAATTCTTGAGTGACATAATTTTAAGAAGCATACATAAATTCTTTGTATGCAACAGAAAAGCATTATTAAATATAGGTAGGAGTAAAACACTTTCAATTTTTACCAAACACCCCAGTTTCCAGGGCATGCCTACCTAGGGTTTTCAAAAGCAGAGTTGTGTGTAGCAGCATTACCAGAGGTGCCACATATTGCAGTGCAATGACACAGAGGTAATAAAAGACTCGAGCCACCTGCAACCAATAACATACAGCTGACATGTTATGAGTAAATTAAACTTTCAAGTAACTTTAGCCAAACTGAATTAACAGATAAGTAATACATCTTTGGGAAGGACGTTAAATGTTTATTAAGTTCGCACTTCACCATACATACCCCATATTTTCACTTTAGAAAATCTCTGATTTTAAGTTTGAAAGTAAGTTTAAAAAAAACCAGTGAATATACTAAAATAAATTAAGAAAAACATTAAAGAGTTCGTACAAATTGGGGAAAATCACTCCTAAAATTCAATTGGCATATATTCATAAAATGGCTAGACTCTCTTATGGATAATAACCTAAAATAGAAATAAACCCCTCATAAATAAAGACATTAAATCCCCATTCAACTTGAACCTATTCGACTGAGTTTAAATTATAAATATGGAAATATAAGGGCAAGTCCAAAGTATTGCTATCAGAGTTCCCATTCATACATGCATGAGTTTATTAAAAAAAATAAAAATGGGTTTAAACATATTTCTGCAGTCAGTGGATGAATACAGACAAGTTATCTCAGTACTAATACACCTTAGTCTCCTAGGGTGCCTTTTAAACAAGTATATACTTTTTGTGCTGTGAAAAAAAAAAAAAAGAAAAGAAAAAATTTTTGAGGTGAGAAATAATATCAAATTTCTAACAAAGCTCAAGTATCTTCCCAAATCAGTGAAATGTTACAAGTTTATAGTAAACTTTAACTCCACGTAAAACTTTCAGGTAGGATCAAGTGTTTTGCATACACTCAGAAAGACCTCAAAGACAAGCAAGGAAGAGATGGAAGAACCTTGATAAATGAAGAAAGTCAAGAAACTGGTGGAAGACCAAAGAAGTACCACAATCGTTGTTATGTACCATCGAACCAGTTCATAGCAACACTGTATGGGGTTTTCCAGGAGTAGCAGGTAGATTCGAACTGCTGATCTTGCACTTAGCAGCCCTGTGCTTGTCCTACAAATCCACCGTGACGATCAATAACATCATCGAGTAGGGGTGTTGCATGGTTCAGCACTTTCAATTTTTACCAAACATCTTGGTCTCAGCAAGCTTTTGGCTTGCCAGAAGCACTGCGTGAAGATCAGTCAGTTCAAAGAGCTGATCTTCCCATCTCCCTTTTAGGCAAGATGGAAGCTAATGAAGATGATTCTATGGAAGGAAGTATATAACCAGGGACGAGAGCAAGGTTCAATTAAAACACTGGCCTCCAAGACTTTAGATCCAGAGAGTGAGAACGACTGTGTGCTGAAGACCTGGGGGGTAACGGGGGAAGGATTGCATGGAGGGATTGTAACCATGGCAATGAGACGATATACGACAGAATGAATGTAAAATTAATGTTCTCCCATGTAAACTATCACATAATTAACAATAAAACATTAAAAAAAAAAAAAAGAAAAATTGGCCTCCAAGAGGAAATGCTATGCCAGTTGAATTCAAGGCAGAGAAATCAGCTCACAGAGTTATGGCAAAAATCAGTAGGAGGGACTAGCCCCTGTAGAAATGATCATGCTTGGAAGGTCAATTAAAAACTAGGACGACCCTTAACAAAATGGACACAGTGGGTACAACAAAGGGACAATTGTCAGGAGGCAGGAAATGGGTAGTGTTTCGTTCTGTTGTGCATGCTTCACTATGAGTCAGAACTTATTCAACAGAACCTAAAAACAACAACAAAGGGGTATTCTTCATAGATGTTTTCAAAGGACACAGGATGGTCACAGAAGAAGTTTTAAGAAAATTACAAACTATATTAGTGAGAAAAATGCACTGAGAGATTTATTTCATCACAACAATGCTCATTCTTCTAGGATAGCAAGAAACTACAAGGGTTTCACTGGGAAATCTTACTCCATCCAGCACCAGACCTGAATATTGCTCCTTCAGACTTTTTCTGTTCCCAAAGCTCAAAGAGTGTTTGAAAGGAACATGATTTAGGTTCCCTGGGTTGTCAAAACTGCCATTTTGACGTATAAATCGAAAAGTGTAGAATTCTTCAGAGGAAGTGCCAGACAGTTGGAAATACTGCCTTCAGACCTAGATGTACGATATGTCTAGAAATAAAAGATTTATCTTTTGATATTTTCAGTAATGGTTTCTATGATTTTAAAGCAGTATTTTTTGGACTTAACCGCATCCTTTTACACTTATCTTTGTACTGAAAGGAATAAAACTATTATTTCCTATATCAGCTATAAACCCTGAACAATATACTGCAATATCTTTCAGATATATTAGAGAGATCTCAGTTAGTAATATACACGCCAAAGCTTTCCACCACCCAACAAAAGGACACTTAAAGCAGGGAAAGGAAGGAGAATTGAGATCCTTTCTTCAATGATCACCAAAATTAGATCAAGGATGGTCCCACAGATTAAGATAAGAGTATTACAGGATTAAAATACTATCTATTAAAGGAAATCAAATTTTAGGTTTTATCCTGTTACAGTATATTCTGTATTTCATTCTGACTACAGTATAAAACTTACCATTTTCTGTAGCTCAACTGTACTTATTCGTCCTGCTTCCTTCTTGAGCTGATCAACACATTTCTGTGCTAAGTTTAAGTAAGCTTGCATGTGCCTACGCATCATGGCCAAACGCAAAGCACACAGCAGAATTATCAACCACAGCCGCAGAGTATCAAACGTAGTTTCTGTCATTCTATAAATCAAAAAGTTGACATGGCACTCTCAAGAGCACAATATGCAAATATGCTAGCTATTTGTGTTAAAATGTGAGAAACTGATATTTATGCTATACTTGGAGAAAGAAACAAACAAAAATCCACTCTGCCATAGACATGAATATAATTCTTTCAGTTGCATAGTAGAATAAGATACAGAAATGGATCATAACAGTATAAAAAGTAATAGAATTCTAGCAGAGAAAAAAGTAGAGCAATATTTGGGATACTGTTGTGTTTGGTCCTCCATGGAAGAAAAATCACCTGTGAAATTAAGAGAGAAGTTGGGTAGCTCTTAAACTAGAGACTAGGGGAATGAAAGGAAATGAAATGAAAGGGGAATCACAGGACAATGGAACTAATTAAGCAAATGACCCACCTATTATTGACACCAGTTTTCCTGATTGTATAGATATTTGGATGGACCCTTTCACTCTGCTGACCTCCTAATTGTTAGGACCATGAAAAAAATCAAGAATTCTGATATATTATTAAGAAATCAGATGCCTCAAATTCTTCAACAAGTTACAGCCTGCTAAGTGCCTGAAGGTGATTCTCAACAATTCCTCAAGGCTAAGGTTAGAGTTTCAAATAAAAACAGTACTCTTGGGACATTTTCCAGAAACTAGACCACAGGTGGGGGCTTGTTAAAGAACTTTAGAAATCAGAGATAATTTCTGAGATCCTTTGGGGTTTTTGTTACATTTTCTTCTTCTTTTTTTAAAAAATCGTAAGTTTTTGTTTGTGAGTAATTTGAAAGTAACAAAGATAATTCCTAGCTTCTAGTTAATTTCTAGCATGCACAGGCATTGTATGGGACCTAGAACTTACATAGGTCTTATTCAAATTCTTAAGTCCATGAGGTTAGAATGGATGGGTATAAAAAAGAATAGGAAAAGATTAAAAATTTACAGTTACTATTAATATTTCTTACCCACTGTCTAACAGAAAAATGACAGATATCTGGACAATAAATGAAGAAAAACTTTAAAAATTCACAAGATAATATATTGGATAATATCAGTAGTGCTGGTGTGGTGCTGTAGGATAAATATTAGATTGCTAACTGCAAGGCTGGCAGCTTAAACCCACCAGCCACTTCTTGAAAACCCTTTTATAGGGCCGGTATGAGTCAGAACTAACTTGATGGCACTTTAACAGCAAACAACAACAATTAATGCTCAAAAATAGTGTCCTAGCTTTATCACTAGTCTCCTGGTGTGGTGATGTAGGACCATCACTAGACTGTGAACCACAAGGTCAGAAGTTCAAACCCACCAGCTGCTCCTTGGAAACCCTATACAGGGTCGCAATGAGTCAGAATTGACTCAATGGCACTTAACAACATCAAAAAACAGCTTTCTCATTTAAAAACTTAGATAAAGTATAAAACATTTATATAATTTGATTATATAATAAAATAATTTGATTTATATAATTGAACAAAAATTAGTCCTCAAATACCCATACTTACAAAGGGATACTTTCTTTTCCCAGTGGTGGATTCATAATGTAGTCTTTGGTGATTGGTTTTACCCAGAGAAGAACCATAAATAAAGGTGCCAAGAAGTTGATATGAAGTAATATTCTGAAAGTATGTAAGAAATAAGGATAAATATTTAGAAACAAAATAGTCTCACATAAACTACAGAAATCTGAGTTTGTACAAAATAAAATAAGGAATGTATTTCAGTATTCTAAAAGTACTGCTCTCACCAACATTTTATATTTATCATTATCACTTAACACTGATTTGAGCTTTTGTGAAACTATGTAATATTAGTGAAATATGACAGTCATTATACAAATTTCTTAGATGAGAACATTTAGATGTTGTTGTTAAGTACCATGGAGTCAGTTCCGACTCATAGTGACCCTACACAGGGTTTCCAAGACTGCAAATCTTTACAAGAGCAGACAGCCTCATCTTTCTCCCACGGTAAAGCTGTTAGTTTCAAACTGCCAACCTTCTGGTTAGCAGCCCAATTCGTAACCACTACGCTACCAGAGCTCCTTGAATATTTAGATATGGAAGGTTAAATGACTTGCTCATATGTGAACATTATAGGTTAGAGGTAGAGCTATGTGTAAAACCCAGATACGTTCAATTCCAATCAAGTGTTCTTAAACAGTCCAATACTAAACTTGTGGCTCAATCATCCACACTCTACTTCCAACCTATACTGACTCTGTAGGACTGAGTAGAACTGTCCCACATTTCCACGGCTGTAATTATTACAAAAATAGATGATCCCCTAACTTTACATAAAAAACCAACCCAATGACTTTCCAATATAGAGGGGTCATCATGTAATAGTACTCAGCACAGCTGAAATGAAACACCTTCTAATTCTTTATAAGCAAGTGATTAGCAAGGCCCATAATACTAGAAGGCCTATATGAGGCTGAGAAAATCTGTAAGAGCATATAACTGAGGAACCTTTTAATATACAATATAATAATCATGCATAGTATTTAAAGCACATTATCAAAATCATAAGTAAATCACACATTTTTATATATTCTTACACAATTATGAACATATTTGAAATTAATTTCCCTTATCTCATATAAATCAAGACCAAGTTATATTACTCCTAACAAGACAAGGGGGCTAATACAGAAAGGAATTTCATGGAATTTCATATTTGAGCTTTAACATCATTATTAACTTTTCTCCAAGTTTTCATCCTATGTTGTTGTTGTTGTTAAGTGCCGTGGAGTCGGTTCCGACTCATAGCGACCCTGCACAGGGTTTCCAAGGCTATAAATCTTTACGGGAGCAGAATGCCTCATCTTTCTCCTGCGGAACCACTGGTAGTTTCGAACTGCTGACCTTGCGGTTCATAGCCCGATTCGTAACCACTACGCTATTTTATCCTATGTTGTTGTTGTTGTTGAGTGCCGTCGAGTCGGTTCCGACCCACAGCGACCCTGTACAGGTTTCCGAGGGTGTAAATCCTTACAGGAGTAGAAAGCCTCATCTTTCTCCCGCGGAGCGGCTGGTAGTTTCGAACCGCTGACCTTAAGGTTCACAGCCCGATTCGTAACCACTACGCTACCAGATAGGGAAGGATTATTGTTACAGACTTTTCTTATTTTAAGAACAAAGGCACATTTTCAGACTAGTTATATTACACCTGTACCACTTTCATTACCAACCACGGTACAAGGGTTAACACACACACAGGTTTAAATATCACTACATATGTAAATGACAACAATCTATATGAGGGTGTGAAGAAACAGGGCTGGGCAAGGAAACCAGGAACACTTGACAGGGAAATAGAGAACTCTGGGTTCCAGCCACTGTCATTAAAACACAAACTATTGCATGGTCATGGGGGTGAGAATATTGCTCTTTGTGCCAGTTATGGTACTTTCACAACAGAACTAGCTTGTATCAAGGCAGAGTACTCCATCACAATGGGGGAAGGAGGCATGCCCTAAACTGAAAACAAAACCCCAAATCCCTAAAGGAAGCATTCTTAAAAAGATGCCATATTTTACTTAAAAGGACAGTAACATGTGCTCCCCCCAGCCCTTATTAAATGCTATAAATGTTTTTATAAAGTGATTCTTTCATTCCTCTGCCTGGGTAAACCATCAGATGCAGGGGAAGAAAAAAAGCAGTATTAGGTATGCAGTGTTGCTAGGGAACACTCTAGTATCAAGGAGCAGCCCACAGCGGTTTCAGTAGCTTGTGAAGGGCTCCCCTCCACCCAGCCTTTTCAGTTTATTTAAATCATAACACTGGGGTTAGTGGACTGAAGTGTGTGTGTAGAGAGGAGGGGGAGAACCAGGTTTTGTCTTAAAAGAAGCCATTAGAGAAACGGCTGGTGGAAGAAAAGCAGGATGTAGCCAAGAGCATGCTGAGTAAAAGGATAGGAAAAGGAGGGGGTAACGGAGTATACAGTGTGAGGTGGGAGTAAGTAAACACGCACACAAAGCATATTTAGAAAAATGGAGACAGGGAAAACCAGAAAGACTGTCGTAATTAAAATAAGGAAAATGACAAAGGTAAGGAAAATACAAATAAATTATAGTAAGGGTCTACTGTAAGAAACAGCATCATTAAATTTAGGGCTTCCAATATAAAAATGTTAGGAAATATAATTATAGAACTCTAATGACTGTAGCACATTTATCAGAATGGAGTATTTTCAACTTTGACTTCCACTGCAAAACAAAAAGATGAGATGAGAACTTGGATCTGGTTATAAGTTTAAGGAGATATAAGTGTGATTTTCTGCCAAGGTATGTGTGTCTAGTTTAACAAAATATCTGCAACAATCAAAAAATACAATAAATGTGTTTTGAATTGTATGTAGAGATTTGATTAAATAGTAATTCTTTATTTGAGAACTAACAAAAAATATGTCAACTGAAAGAGATCTATGATGCAAATGACTAGCAATCCCAAAATAGAGTAATTCCTAACAATAGTAACAGATCAATAACTTAAGGCAAATATACCTCTTTGGTATATAGCTTTTAGTTTAATAAACCCTTTTTAATTTAGTATCTTAAATAATTTAAAGAAATTTATATAAAATATTTTAAAGTAAAATGTTCTGGTTTTTTTCAGGAAACTTTTCATAACTTAGTTCAGTCATAGAAATTAACAGTATCATGACCACTGACCTCTGAAATATAAAGAACTAACAAAAATGTTGATGTTTTCACTTTAGCAGATAAAACAGAAATCTAATAATTGATAATATATATATTTTTGAACACAGGAACTTAAAACTTAGAAGTAAATTTAACAACTTTGTTTATAGTCAAGAGAAGTAGTGTGACATCAAATGGTTACTTGATTATTCATTTTAAAACAATAATGTATGATTTCATTACAATAATATACCTTCATTAAGATGGAAAACATATATTTATCTGCATGTGCTTATGTACATTTTCCGCTTACTGTGTAATTTTTTCTGTTGCCAAATTCAGGGCATCCAGATGCATTTGAGCCAGCCGTAATCCAGGAAATGTCAAAAAAGCCCCAATGAGTGAACAGAAAACAGCCAGAAAAAATTTGAAAGTAAGTTTAGAAACAGGATTCCTAAAAATGAAATTAAAAAGAAAAAAGAGCTGATAAAGAATTTTGTAAGCATTTCCTTTGTTTTAATCAATTACTTTACAAATTACCATAAAAATAAACTACAATTTTGACCAAAACACTGTTCTATCTTCTTTGTTGTTGTTAAGTGCTGTCAAGTCATAGGGACCCTGTATAAGGTTTCCCAGGAGTGGCTGGTGAATTTGAATCACCGACCTTGCAGTTCAAACTGACCTTGTGTTTCTTATCTAAGAACCTACAGCAGATTTAGGTAAACTACAAGCTACCTTATTTAAAAAACCTGGAATTTTTAGTAATAATTATAACACAATCTACATATTCAACATAAAACTGATCTGTGACAGATATAAATTTAGTTTACTCTTTGGAGGTAAACGACATTAAATATAAATATTGATATAAAGATTATGAGTAAGCATCTTTCTAGAAGTAACAGTCCAACTTAAGTATTTTCACTGATTAAAAATACCCATTTGTAGTTAAGTACTATTTACTAAAATTAAAAGTAGAATAATTTAAAACAACTTAATATTTAAATAATGCTTAAATTTTCAAAAACTTACTGAGATTCTAAACCTTGCTTTTCAAGAAACTGCATCACACTGTCTGAAAAATTTGTAAATCCTGATTAAAAAAAAAAAAAAATTACTCTTATCACAGGAGTAAAATACAGATTCTTCCTTTAGAAATAAAGTGCTAGAAAACTGAGCACCTTAAATTTTGAACTAGCTTAGCTCTTTCATGTGCTAATTAGTATGCCACAATGAAATAAAACTTGGTTATTAGCAGAAATAGTCTTTGAAAACATCCCTTTGATATTTGTATATTCTATGAGTGTGAATAAAATTTGCTTTTTTTTTTTTTTTTTTTATTACAGTAAACTTTAGCAGTACAGAAACAACCTTAAGAAAAATGGGGGAAGCAGAGAGATGTATTGTTTGGAAAAGCTACACAAAATACTTAGCTGAAACAATCTAGAAGGGAGAGCTTATGTAAGAATAGTGAAAATTACTTAAAACATTGCAGTATACTGCAAATCTAATTTTTCTAAAATTATTAAATATAAAATTTACTTTCATACTGAATAAAAATATTAACATGAAAAAAACTCATTTTTAAAGTTGTATAAAGTTATTACCTGTTTCAAGCCCAAATTCCAGATAGTTATCTGTTACAATCAAGACTGCCATTGCTTTAACGAAGAAAAAAAATCCAAAGGTAACACAGACTGATCTTTCACCACCATCTTCTACTTTAAAATAGTGTGTAGTTAATGAAAATAGAACTTTGCTGCAGAAGGAAAAGTTCAGGAAAAACAACAAATAACTCTGTGGGAGTTAAACACAACCACAACCATCTTTACAGGACCTGAACTTCATATAATTTAACTATAACCTTTAGTTTGATTCTACAACGTAATTACTGACAAAAGAGCATCCTCAGATACTTTTTGGAATGAAGTGAAAAACTAATAAAAACTCAGGGAAGGAGTTACTTTAGGAAACAATCTAGACTGTGAATACTTGTCACACAGTTTATATCTAAAATTAATACATAAGCACACATCACAAGAATCAGCAATTCATTTAAACAGTTTAAAATCTGAGAATTACTTACAAAAAAAAAAGGTCACTGGTCAGTAAAATTAAGTCACTGGTAAAAAGTAAAGTATCATGGATGTTCACTTTATTATCAGATAAAACGAAAAACAATTTTCTGTTGAGTATTTCAAAACAGCCACAATTTCAACATAGTAACTTAACTAAAAAACATCATGTTATCTGAACTCTCATTGATTCAATCAAGATTGAATCAGTAGATCCAAAGCAAGAACACATATCTCCAATACACAAAATTTTCTACTTGAAAGACGAAATTAGTCACACTAAGGTCAGTAACTTGCCAAAGTTTCAGATTAGATGTTGCTGGGATTTAAACTTGGGTAAGGTCGCTATGGGTCAGTACCAACTCGATGGCACCTAACAACAACATAACAACATCCAGTCTGAGTACTTTATAGTTAATTATACTCCCTTTATAAAACTGTATACAGCATCTAAGTTAAGTTCTCTTCACTTTAAGTGAGCATTTAAATAAAATGGAAGACTAAAGCTTTTCTCAATGCAAACAGTTGGAATTTTTTCTTTAAGAAGCAAAGCATCTTTCACTGAGTACCAAAGTTTCTAAGAAAGCAGCTAGGAGCAATTTTACAAATCTTAAAAGAAGCTTCAACATTGAGAAAGAACTATGATATACAAAATATAGTTTAAGAGTGGTGATGAGATTCTAGAGCACAAAAACTCAAAACTTTTCTCTCCAGAACATTCTGGATACAATGTTTCTTACTCATTTATCCCTTCTCCAAAATAAAATTGATGAAAGCAAACTGATGATTTATTTAAATTACACTCTATAGTTCCATCTCCTTTCTGGCAGTTTAAATAAGAACTTAAAAGAACAAGGAAAAAAGCAATGATTTAAAACAACATATACAAGCCCCACAACTACCACTGAACTGCTTTATTCTATAACTAGACTCTCGTAATCTACTGGAGGATCCTAGACTGCGGTTTGAAAGATTCCACCTCATTTTTACTGAATATGTGTACTAGTATCTAAGTAATAATAGTCAATTCCTTTATTTAGACTGAAAAGCAAAATAACACCTTTGGCCAGAAATGGCAACAGAGCATCAAAAAACTAAATTTCTTAGACACTAAGGCTATCAAAATTTTGTTACTCCTTAATAAATAATTTACCAAATTAAGTATTGCCTGGGACCAAACATCCCTCATAAAGCTCAACTTTAAGCCAAACAAAAGACAAACCTATAAAGCAATCTGTAAAATGCGGTGGAACGCCATATAAGCACTGGAATGCAAACCAGAAGATCGTCGGTTTGAGCCCACCAGTTGCTCCACTGTTAGGAAGATAAGGCTTTCTGCTCCCACAAACACATAATGCCTGAGAAACCCTATACAGGGTCATTACGAGTTAGAACCAGATTAATGGCACTTAACCACAATAAAGCAACCTGGAATCCTAGTGTGACACAGCAGGATAAACACTGGACTGCTAACTAAAAACCTGGTTGTTCAAACCCACCAGTTGCTCCTATACAGGGTCAGTATTGACTCAACAACACTTAACAACTTAACATAAAGCAATGAATCCAAACCCATTGCTAGTTAAGTTGATTTTGGCTCATAGCGACCCTATAATAAGGTTTTTGAGACTAAATCTTTACAGGATCAGAGTCTTAAATTTTTCCTGAAAAGATAAGTAAGTTTGAACTGCTGGGCTTGTAGTTAGCAGTCCAGAGTCTGTACTACAATGCCAATAAAGACCGTATATACAAAAATACAAAGATACCCAGTATCTTTGAGTCAATTCTGACTCATTATCTGACACTGTAAATTTTCATGGGAGCAGTCTCATCTTTCTCCCGTGGAGAGGCTGGTGGTTTTGAACCACCAATCTTGTGGTTAGCAGCTCAATGTTTACCTAACAGCACCACCAAGGCTCCTTAGGGTTACATGTTATTACCATTGATTCGTTTGCTAGTAATAGTGACCCTATATAGGGTTTCCAAGGAGCAGCTCATGGGTTTGAACCACTGACCTTGTCATTAGCAGTCCAGTGCTTACCCTACATACCACACCAAGACTCCTGGGGCTACTCAGGATTTACAGTAACATCAGGGAGGTACATATTCCTTAGAACAAACAATTACACAAAATCAAAAGGGCAATATTTGCCCTGGATAGAAGGCAAGAATACATAGGAAAAAAGGATGAATGAAAACAGCAATCACAGGATGAGGAAAGAATGCTATATAACATTGGGAGTACTTCAAACAATGTCATGTAGCACAATGTGTAGGAATTATTGAATGAAAACCAATTTTCTCTGTAAAAATTCACTCAAGTCACAAAGTCTTTAAAAATCAAGTATTAAACAAGTTTCATGTTATAAAAAGCTGTAACAGTAAACTACATGAAAGATATAGATCTTGAGTCTTTGAGCAAAGACAAGGAAAGAGTGCAGCTCAGAAAACAGACTAAGAACAAAGACATAGCTACACCCTCTCTTCACTTATTAACATGACTAGGTTCCAAAGACCAGGTCATTTGTGGAAATGGATGACAACAGATGAACAGAGGATGCCTACCTACACCATTACACAACCGCCAAGTCACTGATAATCAGATTAGTCCAGCCAAGTTGACACATGATACAGTCAGCTTTACTCTTAACTGCCCAATGTACATGGATAACTCATAAAACAGTAAGAAACTAGGCTTTAATTACTGTCATAAATTTGGATTGTTGGATAAAGTGATAGCAGATGTATTATATTCAATAGATAAAAAATAGAAAAATAATCCATTTTAATTTTAGTGAATATTTGGAGACTAAATGAAAGCCTGAACATGTGGGCAATTCTAAATCACAGAATTACATAAGAAAATATTGTATGACTCTTTTACAGTGACTCTGAACTGTGAAGACAAAGCCATGTTGTCAAAATTATAACAAAAAATACTGACAACCTAGAATTCTGTATCAAACTAAAGTATCAATCAAATAAGTGAAAGTACAGAATTAAAACATTCCCCAAACTGCAAAGTCTGAATTTACCTCCCTCCCAAAACCTTCAGCAAAAAATTCCACCAAAACATTTGAAAACAAAAAGAGGATATTCAATCCCAGAAAGGGAAAATTAAACCTGGAAGAAAGGCAAAGGGAATTCCTGATGATGATAGTATAAAGACCCTGGTGTGCAGTCGTTTATTGCCCCAGAGTCAGTTACGACTCATAGCGACCCTGCACAGGATTTCCTAGGCTGTAAATCTTTACAGGAGCAGAAAGCCTCTTCTTTCTCCCGTGGAACAGCTGGTAGTTTCAAACTGCTGACCTTGCTATCCGTAACCCTACACTACCAGAGAAACCAGAGTACAGGTGTCTCCAGGAAGAATTACTCCATAGAAAGGATTAAGTAGATATAACTATAATGACCTTACAGAAAGGTGTTCCAATAAGGAATGGGATTAACAAACCTAAGTGCTATAGAAAATATTTTTGTTAATAGCAATGATGAGTGAAAAAATATTTCAAAAGAAACGACAGTGCATTGTCTTCTGCTGTCCTTAGAGAATCTGTTTGCTTCATCATTTCTTCTATTTGTCCAAGTTACTCTATGTTCAAGAGTAAGTTTTCGAGTCTCATCTGACATCCACTTTGGTTATTTCTTTCCATCATGTCTTTAATGACCTTTTGCTTTCTTCAAGATTGCTGTTCTTGATGTCATCCCACAACTCCCCTGGGTTTTTGGTCATTAGAGTTCATTGCATCCAATCTTTCTTGAGATGCCTCTAAATTCAGGTTGGACATATTGAAGGTCCTATTTTGGCTCTCATGGAATTATTTGAATTTAAATAAGATTCACCTGAACTGGAATGAGCAGTTGGTTGTCTTAACAGCAGGCTCCTGGCCTTGTCTTGGTTGATGACATTTTTTAAGTCAGAAAGTGGTAATTTAGTACCTTTTACATAATTTAGAAAAGGTACTTAATTAAGTTGCTCTGTTTTGCTGCAGTTATCTATTTCCTACAGCAAAAAAAAAAAAAAAATGCAATATAATTTACAGATCTTTAGTTTGCAAATGTACACACAGAACTGAATATTATACCCAGAAAATTTTATATGTATTTCAATTTAAGTCTCTAAATTTTGCTTTATATAAAATTTGTGCCTGGCAACCAAGGCAAATTAAAAGTTTAAAACATAGCCATAAAAATACACACAATAGAATTTTATACCTTAAACCATCCACATTGTAAAACACAAGTTCTGTGGAAATGTGACTAATGATTCAGTCCTCTAACCAAATATAATAGGACTCCTAAGAAGCTTTACCATTCTTTGTGGAATAGCTTCCTTCTCATCAAATTCACATAATTGACTCAGTATTCCTCTGTGGTACAGCTTATTCAAAAGGTTATACATAT